GCCAAGAGGTTTGGTCAAAGACAAGCTGGTAGAAAGGATCTTCTTGAACCTAAGTTGTTATCCTTGTTAAAATCAATGCCAGAGGTTTGGTCAAAGACAAGCTGGTAGAAAGGATCTTCTTGAACCTAAGTTGTTATCCTTGTTAAAATCAATGCCAAGAGGTTTGGTCAAAGACAAGCTGGTAGAAAGGATCTTCTTGAACCTAAGTTGTTATCCTTGTTAAAATCAATGCCAAGAGGTTTGGTCAAAGACAAGCTGGTAGAAAGGATCTTCTTGAACCTAAGTTGTTATCCTTGTTAAAATCAATGCCAAGAGGTTTGGTCAAAGACAAGCTGGTAGAAAGGATCTTCTTAAACCTAAGTTGTTATCCTTGTTAAAATCAATGCCAAGAGGTTTGGTCAAAGACAAGCTGGTAGAAAGGATTGTTGAGAGCCTAAGTTGTTATCTTTATGAAATATATATAGTTAATAGAAGAATATAACCCTACTTGTGTTTATTTATTTCAGGCAGATGAGTTTACGAGAGCTACAGCTGGTAGTAAATTAATAGTTATAGCTGATCAAATCAAATATTTACAAGAACAGGCTAAAAAGGTTCGATTATCATTTAAAATTGATTTCAATTGATACTTAGATTACAACACCCTAATCTAGATACTAAGATTTGAGAATTATTTGTGGTCAATGGATAAAAATGTATTTTTATTTAGGGGTGAGCTAGAATGGGTCTTGAAAACACTGTTACTGTCCATGAATGTGATCTTTTACTTGCTTTGATAGTCTAATCTGAAATCCAAATGTCAGGTTTGTGAAAGTTTCGATAAGTAATTTGATTAATTTTGTTTGAATAACAGGTTTTAGAAGAAGCTAAACGAAACGCTATGTTACATCATGCGGCGTGTAATATGGTGAAGAAACCAGGCAATATGTATTATTTATATCAACGTGATTCTGGACAGAAATATTTCTCTATTTTATCACCACAGGTCAGTAAATATAGTTGTCTCCCTTTGATTAACAGACTGAAATTATCATGTTTGGAAAGAAGTCCTTGTTTAAAGAATAGGTTGTTGTTGTTGTTGTTTGTTGTTTGTTGTTGTTGTTGTTGAAAGACGTCTTGTTGTTTGGATGGAACCTAAGACATTGGTCTCGTGCTACACGCTGTGCAGTGAAAAAGCCTGCAACAGTTCAGTATTGAAAATGAGTAAGCTAGTGCCGTTAAACTACCATTTTGCTCATTGTAAACTGCATGGTGTTGCTCTTCTTCATTTTCCAACAAGATGATGTAAAACTCCATTCATTTTTCTATTTCGTTTCTTTTACAGGAATGGGGTGCCAGTTGTCCTCACGAATTTATCGGAGCTTTTAAACTAGAATATGATATGTCCTGGTCTCCAATAGAAGAAGTTGAAAGACGTGGAGAAGAATTTGCGTTGATTGATAAAATATTAAACGCTAAAAACGCTATAACTGACTCTACTGCGTTGATGTTCGGGAATACGAAACCAAGTACTGCGTCTGCTACACCCGCTGAACTAACAGACATCACTGGAGAGAAATAATAAATTATGACTTGTCTCGAAGAGCAGACACAAAAAAAAAACCTCAATATGGACACAAGGTGAATTGTATTGGTCAGTTGTCTGAAGATCGCATGGCGTGAAACTCAGAGTAACACCATGTTTCAGGTTCTGTTTTAATATTTATAATCTGTGATTTTATTAACTCTTTTTAATCTGAAAGTTATAATTTACCTATATTAGGAGGCAGGGCCCAGTTTCTCAAAATATCTTATGATCAGTTTTTGTCCAAAGTGTTGTATAACTCAAAGTAAAATTTCACTGCTATGACAATTTAATTATCATAAGATTTGTTGAGAAACAAGAGCCAGATAATTACAATGTAGGATATCATGCTCTGATGTTTAAACAAATAATGAAGTTGATATTGGTTTAAATGATCCTGTAATGTTGATTATGATGAGAAGGGCGATATATTAGATTTACTTAAATTAATTGAGGGAGAATTTTTGTTTCTGTTTCTGTTTATTAAATGTATGGTAGAAAGTATTACACCTGAATAGTGGTTTATATTTCAGGTTCTAAATTCATAGTGATATCATGTTTGTCTAATTTGTTATCGTTGTAAATAATATTAAAAACATCCAAATAAACTTTGAAAAGAATTGTAATAATATTATATATAACTTTCCAAGAGAAAAGGCTGACCCATTCCCCTCTCATTACTTGTAGTGTCAGCACTCTTGATAATTCTGTGATTTCCACCCCTTCCCCCTACCCACCCCTTTCATCTAATGGTTCATAGAAACGCTACTGGTAGGGTCCCAGAACTTTAACTCCGCGGACCTCGTCTTCCCTGGGAGTGGGGTGGAGTCAGTTATCTTGGTCAACACTAAAGTTGATGGGTCATGTTGAAATCGAACTTGAATGTACACAGATGAATTTGTTGGATTATAGCCCCTGCCATCACCTTCGTTAATCATGCATATAATAGTTTTGGACGTGTTGAAAAGTCGACGGCACTGTCCTATTAAATATAACACAAACGTGATAAAATGTTCAAAGCGACCCAATAAGATATCATGCCATGCTCGGTGCTGTTCACAGTTCTAATTGATTTTAATATTTTCTTGACTTAACAAGGGTTGAATACCAAACTAACACGCTAACCTTTGAGACATCAGGATAGTTTAAATCAATTATTATTAATGTCAAGAAAACAACTTAATCTTTAAATAATATCCCAGCGTGGTAAATAAAAAACAAATAAAACACCCCAATAAATCATTATTATCAATTATGACCAAAAAAAGACATATTTTATGTTGGGTCGTTATGATGTAGGTTAGTATGTATTATAATAAAGGACTATAAATGATAATTTCTTAGGTGGGTCAAACAGGCTGTGTGTCAGTAGGTCGACGGTCATCATCGGTACACCTCGAGACAGACGACATATTTGAACTAAGAAATAGGCTACTCAATTCCACTGTGCTTGTGGGAATGGGGATGCCAACATGAAATTGTGTTTGGAGCGTCCACATATCTAATAATATATCCCAGTTAGCGATACCCATCTTACGAAGATGGCACTATGCCCCCCTCCCCCACCCCCAAATATAATACGCCACTGTCGAGTCTGATATCAAACATGCGTTGTACTAGTGTTCAACCAGCTCTGGCCAGGTGTAGCCCTGGGTCAGCCAGACCTAGACTAGATTAGCATTGCAAGCTATGTAAGTTTTTCAGTATTCAAAGAGTTGAAGTAGTTTAAATATATGAAGTAGGCCTACCTGTTGATAGACCACGATTTTAACCATCCGTAACACTTTTCAGAAAGAAATACGACGGTCGGATCACCTACAATTAACAAAAACATGCATTGGGAGTTCAGAATGATACCACCTCACAGTATATTATATATCAGAGTACGTGTATGTTTGTGTGTTTGTCTAACTAAATCATACTAATGATTAACTAATTTTCACATAATCAATAGACTTATCTATTGCTCTGTGATCTAGGCCAGTGCTTTCATCGAGACTCGTCTCAATACACCCTAACGTCAGTGACTGCACACGAGCACTGTTATTCTTAACCTTAACCTTTTATAGGACTAGACGTAAACCTGCACTTCGTTTCTTTCCTGCATTTTAAATACAATATGCATAACCTTTTTTTTTCTCACTGATTGGAAAAAAATTAACAAATTTCATTTGTTTAGAAGAAAAAAAAACCGAATGACTTACAACTATCGGAAACTGGAATAAAGGCATACCTTTCGGACTATTAATTTTAAATAAGTGCACCAGATCAAATCATTAAAAGTTGACAGTTTTATGATATGTTAATTCACTAATGGATTTACTCTGACGTAGAGAATAGAAGGAAGAAAGAATTCCATTGTCTCTTCCATGCATTGCTCTACTTAAAACTAAAATGTTGATCATTTTACACTAAAAACCTCTAACTGTCAAAATAAAAATATCGATTTATTATCGATGATATACGGGCACCACCCTAAATATAAAACGTCAATAAACTCTGAGAAGGGTTTAGGATATAGAACCATTCGCCTGTAGTCCTCATAACCACCAGACGTCTAAAATGGGGAGAGTGCCAGTGCCAAGCGTCCTGAAAATGCTTATAGGATTGGTTTTGCTCAAAGAAGTAGGATCTAAACAAATCTCAGAGGTAGGATTAGTTAAAAAAATATGTCTAACGAAATCTTTGGTTTTGGAGTGTCTGAAAGTTTATCTGAATGTGCTAATGGAAAGTCGAGAAAACGACACCAAAGACTGGTTTCAAAAATGTGTGGGGGTGTGTGTGGAGGGGTATGCAGGGGAGTGGGGAATATCCTGGCTTTGGCCACTCTCAAATTTCTTTTTACTTCACAAAGGGAATCCTATTGAAGTCTCACCCCCACATAATGATTCAAAGAAACGTCACTTTCTGGCAAAAGTAGCAGACTTCATCTTATGATTTTTCAATTTTCAGCCACTATCAGAGTCGTCACTTTTAAACTCCCCATTTTCTGACATCCACACATCTTTAAAACCCTGGATAGTTCGAGCCCGGATTAAAGATGGCGATAGCGGGTCGGTTCAGGACGTGTTCATCAACGATAAGAAACAAGAAGAAATCACCAGAATTCATAACCCTTATTACGATATTTTCATCATTAAAAACTTTAAATTGGTAAGTAATTCCGCTCTTTCCTGTATCTTCATCTTCTCTTGTCATCCTCTTATGTTCCGTCTCTTTTTGCCCTCTGACCTGTCTTCTTCTTCGATCCTCTCCTCTTTTAGTCCCCCCTGTTCTTCCCCCTTTCTTGCCCTTTCATCTTCTCCTATCCTTCCGTTCTCTCTTATCCTTCGTTCTACTCATATCCATGCGTTCTCTTCCATCCTCTTCTATCCACCCATGTATCATATCCGTCCGGTTTCTACCATCCTCCGTTCTATCCTATCCGTCCATCCTCTCCTATCTATCCGTTCTCTTCTATCCGTCTATCCTCTCCTATCTATCCGTTCTCTCCTATCCGTCCATCCTCTCCTATCTATCCGTTCTCTCCTGTCCGTCCATCCACTCCTATCCACCCGTTCTCTCCAACCATCCGTCCTCTTCTATCCACCCCTTTTATCATATCCATCCGGTTTCTACCATCCTCCATACTTTCCCATTCTCTCCAATCCATCCGTTCTCTCGTATCAATTCGTATTCTCCTATACTTCTGTTCGCTCTTACCTGCATCACTGACAGAGGGAAACCGTGTTGAAGCTTGATAAGCAAGATTAGTTGTTGTCAAACAGAGTTCCCGAAGTAAATTGTATTTTTATCTACCGTCTGTTGTAGAAAACCGCCATGTTGTTAATTTTTACTAAGAAGAAATACCAAGATAAGTTATCAGTTCGACATTGTGAAGAATGGTCTCTGAAAAATTCTACATTTTTACCAACAGATTACTTTATGGTAAGGTTTAATTTAAAGTTAATTACAGTGAATAGTAATAACCATTGAAACAACTCTCTTAATTCTTTTAAGGGGTTCTCACACCAGATGAGTATGCCTGCGAATAAGAATAGCGGTCATAAGTTTCGAACACAACTCTCATGTTACTGAGCTGTGAGTTGTACTCTCATGACCACTTTCATTATTCACAACCATAGACAACTAGTAATCACTATAGTGTGAAGCCAATTTTACCAATGAAATAAACCAGGTATATTCCGAGGATAGTTATTGTTACCGGTACGTGTGTAGGCCTACATGTTGGAACCAGTCTTGAAAACTTCTGGGCTGATTGCGGACTGAGGAAAGGTTCACAGCTATGACGGGGATCCTTTCTACCAGCTGATCCATGGCCAGACTTCTTGGCATTGGTCTTTTCTGAATTTTTCTTACGTAGTGGAGAGTTCAAAAACGGTTATTCTTCTGTTTGATTTCAGAAGACGAAGATTGACAAGAATAACGGTCATGATTTAGAAATTAAACAAACTAAGATACCCAAACATTGGTCACAGTTTCTAAAATACAGATCTTGTGGTGACATTCCTCGAGAATTATTTGAAGGTATGTATGACTTCTCACCATTCTGACCGTCAAGCCAGTTAGTTTGACACGATAATAGTTCTGTGTTGTTATTCCACTGAAAGAAAACTGCTCGCAGGGGGTGACACAATATTTTCTTATGGACACTTTTCATCCATAGAGGAGAGACTGAACTATTTTCACAACTTTGTACCCCCTCCCCCAAAAAATGGATTTCCCCCTTGATCAAATTCTAACAACCGGACAAATCCATTTCTGCGACTAAACACCATACACCATTTCCCCTCTGGTTATATTACTTGCCCCTCCCAACAATCAAGTCGAGCTATTGTAGTGAAACTTTGGCTTCCATTTCATGTTCCATTGTATTAAACCCTACCAATTTGGCACTACCCGGAACTCGGACGTGATATACAGATAATATGGGTGTGATATCGACACGTTTAGAGTATCACATCCGTATATCACGTCCGGAGAACGGATGGGGTTTGATTTATCGGGCCAGATCGTATTTGTACTGACTTCTGATGTCTGTTTTCCAGATATAACTCGACAGAAACGTCAGTCTCTAGAAACGTACGGTCAGTGGTGTGGCCGATGGGAAGCTCCCGTATTTAAACCTTGCTGCTCTGAATGTCTCGACCCTTCATCATGCATGTAAGTTCTTTTTACAAAATAGTGATCTGAGGTGAACCCGACCAGTATGGTGAAAGGCCGGCCAGGGACAATTTTAAGAATCGATTTCTTAAAGTTTGTGAAAACACCTAATACTGTATCTTTCTACTTCTCTCACCCCCACACTGTATACAAGCTAGTTACGGGTTGACGGGTCAAGAAATTCTCCGGGTATTGAGCCTCATTTTTGCCCCTACCCCATTCTGTACTTATATAAGCAATCAATCTTCAAGGTTTTATGGGCATTTCAAGTTTTGTTTTAAGTCACGACTGATCGATCAATTTCAATAATTAAAAATTATTAAAAAAAAATAATCATTTACAAAGCACACCCGATCAATATTAACTTCGCCTGGAGCACATCTGCACAATGGTTAAGTTATTAAACACTTCGTCTTATACCTTGACTTCAATAGCCACTTTTCTTGTATCACGAAATTTTGCGATTTTATTGGATTGAACGCCAGTGAATGCTGTCAACCAGAACCCTCAACATAAACATTGTACGCATTAATACTTATTGTTGATAGTCTTTCTGTCGAGGACGGGGATTGGCTGTGTTCTCTAACGTACATTCCAATCAAATGTGGCTTTTGCGGTCAAGGTATTAGAGACAGTTCATAATAGCGTTACATGGTGAAGATGTATTAAACACAGTTCGTAATAGCTTGACATTGTGAAGATGTATTGGACACAGTTCGTAATATTGCTTTACATGGTGAACACGCCTGAGTCAATGACTGATTCAGTACCAATCTAATTTCAGCTGGGTCAACTGGAATGAAGAAGGGGGTCAAATGTATTATTAATTAGCGCATCTTTCTTTCAGAGCTGCAAATTGTACACCGTTTTTGGACCAGGTTGACGAAGCTTGCGTGAAGTTCACTTTCTGTAAACTTTGTTGGGCCGATTTACCAAATAAGGCTTTACCTCATTGTGATTGTGTTCGAGATCTCACGCGCGATTTAAAAGAAGCACGTTGTTTCGGATTACTACCAGGTGATTGTTACAACTATCGCAGTCGTTTGTACGGATTTATGTCGAACAGTAACTGCTGGGGACGCTTAACTTTAAAAATTACTGAAACTTATCAGTGTGGATTTAAGCAAGACTCGTGCAATTCCGGTTCAGGTTGCCAAGTGGTTCCACAGCTATGCTTCCGAAAGAGCATGAAAATTTTAAATAATTTCAAATGTGTGAATCACCACACGTGTGAAGAGACATTTCGTAGATTGAGATCGGGTTCGCAACCACCACCATCGCAAACTCGCCCATCAGCAAGACCAACTTCGCCGACTGATCCTAGACCACGCCCTAACCCGGTTACGCCAGTTGGTCGGGGGTCTGGACCTGAAACAGGACTTGTTGAATCCCCAGTCCCTATTCGAGGAGAAAGACCACTTACCTCCAGAACAGGATAGCAAACTACTTCAGGAAACTTCGTAGTTATCGTCTGCTGTCATCATGAATTTAGAAGTATTTTCAGAGGAGAAATGCCGCTGCCATTTGTCAAATGAAACAAATAAGAGACTGAAAATCTGTTTCCTTTTTTATGATGCATGGAAAAACCTAGCTTGTCCCGCTACCTGTTATGAAAACAGACCTTCGTCACGAAAGATTTGCAAATACAGTACTCCGAGAAGCTCAGAAGCTCTAACCCAGATACCATCTGAGTTTTTTTTTATTAGAGTTTGTCGGACTATTCTGTAAACTCCTATTCATTTTGAAAATGAAACATTAAAATGTTCGTGAATAATGTTAATAAAATGTTTAAGTTTTAGAAATGTTTTTAGTTTTCAATCTCAAGGACCAGAGTTGGTGATCGGAGGTGACTCAGAAAGTATGCCACTAGCGAGATAACCTAGGATATCCGGGATTTAATCCAAGTTTATTAGCCAGTTCCTCGTGTTAGTGTTGCAAGTCGGATGGGGGGTGCGAGGCTCACATGGGGAAAGTGTGAGAGGGATCAATTTCCGCAAAAAACTTGAAACCTGAACTTAACAATTCAGGAGAAGAATAAGTATGATATTTTTTTAAATTCCTAATGAAAATTACAAAGATAAATAACAAAGAAACACATACAGTTTGAAACATTACCGGCATAAAAACACATAAATATAAAAAACACAAAATATTCATACTACATAATCAAACATAATAAATAACATGGGCAATTTCACAAAAACTTAAAGTTGAATCAAAGGGTTGTCCTGTTCTTAGAATCTTTCTCATGGGCATCTCTAGAGCTCAATTAGTCCATTGCTCCATTTCGATTGCTGTCCGGTCATGAAAAGTTGGATAGAAATCGACAGACAACAAAAAATACCCCTAATTTTACAAATGAGATCTTCCAATCATTCATATAAGCACAAAATTGACAGCACTTATGCATGTGTGGAAGAGTTCACTAAAAGTAAAGGGGTATCAAACAAAGTACTAGTGGAGTACTTAATGGAGTCCTGTAATTCTGGAGAAAAAAAATTCTGATTTTGAGATTATAAAAAAAATACCACTGCAGCCAAATGGACTGTCAAAATAGTGGAAAAATCTTTGAGTGCTGCCTATACAAACCCCTTCTGAATGCCTGAAATTGAAGACAAATTAGATAATCAGAATACAGATATTTTCTGGAAGTTTTTGTGAAATTTTACCCCGGGATTTCAACCAGTATAAAGTGAAATTCTAACATCAATAGAATAGAGGAAGGTAAATATTTAATTTGTCAGCTTCTTGAGTCAATTATAGTACTCAATTTCAAAAATGAAATGAATGGAGTTTTACGTCCTACTTTTCTGCTATCTTTATCACTTATGATAAGAATTTGAGGATTTGTTTGACTATAACTTCAGATATCCCGATGAATGCAAGGGGCAGAATATACTTGGAAATTTCACACTGAAAAAGCTACAAAACAGGCCGATTTAGCCAATCACTAATATTAATTCAAATTAAGGTTTTTAAAAATATTTTTACTTTTTAAAGGGATTGTAAAGAGGTTTTCTAGATTTTTTATACTTATCAGAGACTTATCAGATTTCAAGTAGACGTTTGTGGTGTTTTATGAAGTCACTCTCACAAAATTTACTTGTATCACATAAGACATTTGAGGGGGTGATGTTATAAAACACTTAGTTTTAATGGAATTGTAAGAACCACAGACGTCTGATTGAAATTTGAAATGGTGAAAATTGATGCTATCATTGTCCCAGCTACACAAACAATTTAGAAAACCTCTTTACAATCCCTTTAAGGAGGTAAACCTGATTTAATCTGTAATTCAAACTACATGGTTCATTTTTAAAATTTGACCAAATTCAAATCACAATAACAAAATAACTACAAATATCCAGATCACATTAATAAGGCTTTGGTTTTCGTTCAATAAAATATTTTTTTTGATTTTGAAATTCATAACAATATGGAAAAAATGGAGATTTGGTGTGAAAATATTTGAGAAAAGATGTAAAAGTATAAACAATGCTATCAGACGCTTCCATTTTTGTTCTTTTAAAATTGTTCATGTCTAATGTTACTTAGATCAACACATCACAAAGAACAACCCCACCCTCCTAGACAATGCCCATTTTTTCACTCCATTCCTCAAATGCAGCAGGCATGCGGACACACGAAGAGACAAAAATATCTCCAATCAGGTGTTTTCTACTATGTCGATAATCACACGCGGATCATACAATCGAAAGGAAATGAATCTGATTGGATGATGAAGATATGTTTTTCTCCTATCCTTCCAAAAAAGCAGATATAAATAGTCCTGATTTTACAGAGCACCAATATTTTGTAAATTTCATAGAAAAAAATTCAATAATACAAAAATTGTAAGATCTTAAAAGTGAAAAGTGCTTCATATAAGTTATTCAGTCAGTGCCCAATTATCATAAATGAGCTTTTGATCAAAATTCAAAGTAGGTGCAAAAATTTACGTGTTTGAAATTAACTTTACATCAAATTTTGATTAAAAATATTTTTGTACAGTGGTTCTTAGTGGTTATTATTATTGGTTTATTTCCATATCACCCCATCCCATTTCGCCCCCAATTTATTTCCATTTCTATTATGTCCCTTCCCAAGTTGGCCTTAAAAATATCATAACAATTGAATTTAGTAACACAAAGTATTACAAAGTGTGACCTTGTTGGTATTTTACCAGAAAGTGGTTTTCTGTTGTATGTAAATGGATTGTAATTGTAAATGAAGGTGTAGATCAGCATACTTTAAGTAAAGTCCTAGTTAACAGAACTAAAAAATAGCTCTCATTTCACATGATTTGTTTGTTCTAGTCATCTGATTGGTCAATTGATTATAAATTCAGTTTTATTAGCCAATCAAATTACTGAGTTTTTAAAAAAAAAACTTTTTTTGATTTAAAGTTGTAGTCATTTGATTGGTCAATAACTTGAATTGATTTTTATCTATTTTTTTTGACCAATCGGATTACAATATTACCGAAAGAATAATTTTATACAAATTGATAATTGTCCCGAGGAACATTAAATGGTGTTCGATGTCGTAAATTATCGTTATCATTCAGTTCGTATTTCGTCATCCAATCAACCTGCAGCGGGCGTAAGAATCCACATAATCGTAGCTGTAGAACGTCATTTAAATTCTGTATAACTCCACGGCTGAAAAATAGAGCCAGATATATTTAAAGCATCAATAAAAATGGGTTAGCTCAAGTAATGACGACTGTTTAAATTTTTGATTATAAAAAATATTAAAATCATACCTGATAATATTTTAAATATATTATGCTATTTTCATCTATTTCACCCAAAAAAATTCTTAAAGCTATTTTCTTCTAAATTATAATTTTAAATTTTACTTGACTTTTTCATAGTTGCACTAATAACAAACTTGTCAAGTTTTTTCTTTGTTAAAGTGCACATAAAAGTTGTCCTTTTCATGAATTTTCTCGTTAAAGGGATAGTGGCGCCAGTTTGGGGGGTTGATTTTAATCTTGAATATATGTAAATAGTTTTCAGACGTACTAGAAATGTACGAAAATCACATAATTCCTTTAAAAATATTTCAAACTAGGAATTTTACTCCCTTTTCCTATATATGTTTTTCTAAATATTACAGAGAATCTTAAATTAATGAGTCGTCATTTTAACATTCAATTGTAAATAATTCTGAAGACACATGGATGTGAAGGCTCAAATTTCGATAGTGAGTTGTGAACACTATAACTGATTGGCTTAGCCAAAATATTCCTATTTCCAAGACTAAAGTATAAAAAAAAAAAGTCACAAAAAAATGGAGCACCTATCCCTTTAAACATTGTTTTGAGTTTTCTCTTTGACATTAAAACAGATAAATGCTCAATAATAAATAAAAGATGGTAACTGGTAGTGTAACTGTCTATCATAATAATAATCAAATTTCATTTTTTAATATTAAATATCATTCAATAAAAATAAAAATATGAAATGATATATGAGATTAATTTATCATGATTAGACAATATATATTGCATCTTTCTGTTTTAGAAATAGAACGCACACGTAGGATTTGTATAATGATACTAAATAAGAACGAAACCAGAAAAAATAGACGCCTCATTACTAATTTATGTCTGTTCAACAACAGCTCTATGAAAAAAAATGTGCCATTTTCTCTCAAATTAGTGTTGTTCTTGGTAGAGAACTTTTGATTTTTGTTTTTTTCGCTTGTTAAAGGGATTAGTCCCGAAATTTAGCTACATTTATTCTTATTGTATCGAGTTTTTACCTACTGTTTGCACATTATCTTGTTAATTATTTTTTACTTCATTACAAGTCAACTCGTCTTTTTACTTTTTATGAAAAAAAACATGCAGGCTATAAATATAAGGCCTGATATTTTGGCTGATTCTTTTAGGCTCTACTTACTGAAATGGGCTGACTATTTTAGGTTGGTGATGACAACTATCGCTATGTTGATGATCATGATGCTGGGTGTCTGGTGGCTGTTGGTGAAATATCGGGTAACGCCCACAATTCAATCTTTCATTGGACGTCATTGCTAACCACATGACCTGTAAAATCCAAATAGGGGTCAGCATACCCAAATAAGGCAGTTTTAGACAAGAAAAAGGGAAACAATTCTTGCTTATTCCTTTCATTTAGAGAGAGACAGGACTGATTTGATTTACCAGGCAAAAAAAACCACACCTATGATACTAATGATCTCTTCCAATCAGAAGAGTTTAATACAAAGTTGAGGGGTGTCAAATAGATGACTGGCAAACTATATCCAGCCTCAGAATTCAATGACTGTTCTGTCCTGGTGAGGATTCTATATCCGGAGCACATGTCAGTAGTATGAGTTGAGGTCTAGGCAATAAGATTTCAGTTGTTCTTTCTTTGTACTTCTTGCTCTTGTAGAGCAAGACAGCTTACACGCTCAAGCTTCCATAGTCCGATATTTGAAAGTTAACATTTCCAATAAAGCTGTCCTCCTGCGTATCTAAAACATCACAGGAAGAGTTTCCACATAACTTCATTTTTCTCAGTTAGAATTAATAGCCCTGCTCCTGTTTGATTTTTGAATTTTTTCCAGAATGTCCACAAATATCGTAGCTAGACTCACCTGATAAAGTTGACAAAAGAATAAACAGGAGACCCAGAACATGTGACAGATAGCGTTAATCATTATCCATGCTACCCAGGGTGACATTGTAAATAATTTACGTAACGACCCCGTAATGCCCTCTTCATAAAACTCTATAGATATCTCCGCGCTAAAATCTGTTGATTATAAAATATAACGATACAGGAAT